GCAGGCTAATGGCTAAAGAATGTTGTGGGGAAATAGGAGGGACTGGCTCTACTCCCATCTCAGGCATGGGGATTAAACTCCTGGCATTTCCTCTCCTGATGGGGTTATAACTACAATTCTGGTCTGCACAAGACCTGGGATTATAGAAGGGTGATGTAGGGCTCACTCCTGGCTCAAAGCAGTAGCCTAAATTAGGAACCCAGGGGTAAAATATCCCACTGGGAGTGAGGGGATAATTTTAATACTTTCCTCAAAACTGTCTGCATGTTTGGCTACACACACCAACCTGCAACCTCCTCCCTGGATCCAAAACCCTTAAACACAGCAGCAGGATCTGCTGGCTTGCCTGTGGCTTGCTCAGTGGTGTCTGCCCAGTGTTTCCCAGTCCAGGGTTAATGCAAGCAGAGCATTTTGGTGCCTTCTGTGCTGAGTGGCAAGGCACTCCCCAGGAGGGTCTGCAAGCCTTATCTAAATAAGAAAACAGAGAGACCTTGTGGTTTGAGGTGTGTACCCAGCTAGTCACCCTAAGAAAGCTGCATGGGGTGGAAAAGAAGCTCCCAAAGAAACTTGCAGCCTAGTAGGGAGGTTGCAAGTGAAGTTTCAAAAATTCTGAGTATAATGAACACACTGAGAAAGAGATTTTTGCATTACACTTCTGTACTTAGCCACAACTCCTCAAATTCGTATTTTGAAAACCATTTTTAAAATAATTTCTTTATCTAAAGGTATGTCAAGAGTATTGTGAAAGATGGCACTGCAGATTTATCAAAGCAGAATAATTAAAGAAGTTTTTTCCAGTCAGTCTATTTCTCTTTCTTTTTCTTTCTTTCTTTCTTTCTTTCTTTCTTTCTTTCTTTCTTTCTTTCTTTCTTTCTTTCTTTCTTTCTTTCTTTCTTTCTTTCTTTCTTTCTTTCTTTCTTTCTTTCTTTCTTTCTTTCTTTCTTTTTCTTCCTTCCTTCCTTCCTTCCTTCCTTCCTTCCTTCCTTCCTTCCTTCCTTCCTTCCTTCCTTCCTTCCTTCCTTTCTTTCTCTCTTTCTTTCTTCTTCCTTACTTTTCTTCAGAACATGGCAGAGAATTGTTGCTCTACTGCCTTCTTTTAAATCTTCCTCTTGCACCCTTCTTTCTGACTAAATCTGACATGCCTTTTGGGCCTTGTGCAAATGGCTGTGCAGAGAGAGCTGTCCCATTTTCTGGATAAGCCAGTGGTAACTGTAATTGAAGGCCTGTTCAGTACAGCACTATAGCTGTAGACATCTGGACAGAGACAAAAGAGATGTCATCACTGAGTAGGATGCTGTGTTCATCCTCAGATAAGTTTCAGGTGTAATCTCCAGCTGTCTGTGGTATTACTATTACAGCTGAAGCAGGAGGAATACCTTAACACACAATGAGCTACATAAATGCTACTTTTGCAAAGAAAGAAAGAACAATATTCTAGTTTAAATAACAGTCAGGAATGTCATATGTAACTATTATAAGCAACAGAGGCTGAAGAATTAATACAATCATAGAAAAGTACTGGGCTTTAGCAATGTACTTATGATTAATCCCTAAGTATGGATATTCTAAAATTGAAATGCATGCAGCATGTTATACTAATTTAACATTGAATAAGTACATCATTGTGCTTAGGGAAAAAGGCTGAATATTATAGGAACAGGAATCAGCATAGCACCTAAAACCTGCTTGGGAACTTCGGCAAAGGAAACAAATTTTGGTGTAATTTTATACTGTATTACATTGCCATAATAAATAAGCTCTGGTGATCCCAAGAACTATCAGTACATCATCTATAATTCCTGTTGTTTTTGGTCATAAGCATCATCTCAGGAAAATCTCATGCATACCTTAAAACATCTGCAATACCTGTTCTTAAAACAGCTTGAAATATTATTGTTTCACCATGTGTAATTGTAAAAAAGAAAATAAATTTAAAACCCCATTTAAATAGATTTTAAAATTGTGCAGCTGAACACTAATTTCCTGACCTCTTCATAGTGTGGCCCTATAGTGTGGCTGTGGAGTTAGCACAAGTCAGGTGGTCCTGAGCAGCCAGGAGAAGGCATGGAGAGCCTCCTGTGGGTACTGCCATGGAAGCCCATGTGTGCTTGAGTTATGGTGTGAGCACACACTGGGGAGCAGACTCATTTCTGGTTCCACCCTCTGTTCCTCACAGCACAGCCCCAGAGCTGTCCAGCCTTCCTCCAGCTGCAAGTACGCTGCCCATTGGCTGTAGTGTCCATGTGAAAAAGTGATCCTTCTAGCACAAAAGACCAAAACCAGCAGGCACTTGAGCATTCTGCTTTGCACATCCCAGCTTGTCTGGCATGTCACACCTGAACCTGGATCACTGGAGATGGGGTCAGAGCCATGGAGGTGTTGGTTTCTTCCTCTGTCTGGAGGCTGACAGGGTCCATCTCCTGGGGTTTCCCTTGTGAATCCTTCTGCCTCCCTGTTGTTTCTGCCCTGCCCATTGACCAGCACTTTGTATTTGCATGTATCTTTTCATTTCAATGAAATCATCATCCTTGATCCAGTACTGATGCCAGCCTGTGTGCTGTAGTGTTATGGGCCAGTCTTAAAGTAGACAAATATTTTTCTTAGTCAGGAGCTTTATAGTTTTTATAGTTAAAATATTGTTGTTCAACTATTCTTGAAATTTTTGCCAGATGAAAAGATTTCTGTGAAAAAGACAAAGAAGGTGCTGGACTTTATCTGGCATGTCAGCTATTCCTGTGGTTACAGCTGGCTAAAATAAAAATGACTGGAAATAAATAGACTAGCTAAGATTCAGCATGGGAAATAGTTCTTACTCATTTACTCATATGTAGTATCATATGGTGCAGTCATTTTAATTAACAGAAGGGAAAAGATTTACCTGGATCTACAGCTGTAACCCAGCCTGGTGCTGCAGGCACTCTTGGCACAAAGTGCAGGAAACACAGACATATAGCAGGTAAATTCAGCTGATTTTGATCTTGCTCATGCTTGCTAGGTCACAGTATTGTGTTAATCTCTGTGCCATTGGTAGGAGCTGTTGTGTGTTTTAAAGCTGTTGACAGTTTGTAAGACAAAGTGCTCCCTTTTGATACAAAATCCCTACAGATGTAGCAGAAGTGATGATGCTAACAAGAACAGAAGCACCCACTTGACTGGCTTTACACCATGCTGCAGAACACTTTGCAGTACAGTGTGTAACTGGATGAACACCATACTTGTGCTCGTACTCATTGTACAGCTGTCCAAGAGACACTGTTTATATGTTCTTCATTAATCTTTATTGTCAGTTTGAACCAATACAGACTGCAGGGAAGAGCCTGGAAAATATGTAGACAATTCCAGGCATTTTTCTCTGATCTAGATGTCCAGTTTTTGCTTCAATTGAGTTGTCTACCATGAATAATCAAATCCAAGTTTGTGGCCCACAGTGTAACTGCATATTATTTCTGGATCATTTGCATCTTGCACTACTTCTGACTCAGCAGAATGGTTCTGGGAAGATTCAGACAGTAATAAGACTACTTCCTATTGGAGAGAAATCCTCTGAGCCCTGTTTGCCATCACTTTATGTTTTATGTAATCTCAGTGACACCGGACTGCAACATGTGCTACATATGACTGGATCACATGTGCTACATTGAAGTGGAAGTGCCACACCTTTATTAGATTTTGACATTACGTATTTCTGCTTTAGATGAGGACAATATTTCATTTCCCCTCTGAAAATGAGTGCCCTTCCAGACCATTTAAAGATGAGAAAAGCTGTTACAATGCTGTTGCTGAGACAAATGTTACACAAGTCATTGTATTATTCACTGCATGTCAACTAGACTCAGCATCCAAGTATCTGTACCTTTTTCTCTTTAAATTCATGGGTTTCAAATGAGTAGGGTGCTCACAGGACTGTTTGTCCACGTAGAAAACACCTAACTCCTAGTTTTAAAGCTCTCAGAAAAATGAAGGTGTGTGAGTGCTCTCAGTGTTACTGTGACTGAAGGTGATCACTGCCCCATGTCCTATGTTGCTCTGCACATACACTTCGAGTGGTCTGTGAGACATCAGAAGGCACAATGTGCTTTGACAAAAGCTGCATTTCTCATTTAATACAGAACTTACATTTTTGTAAAACTTAAAATGATGTGTTAATGCAAAGAGCTTTGCTTGCTTGAACTCCCACAACTGTGAAGCAATAAGATTACACTTGGTGGCCCCTGGATATTTTTTCCAGATAGGCCGGAGAAGTGTTGATGTAGGAAAAACCCAGAAAACCAAAAAGCTGCTGGCCCAGTTCCCTTCAAACCTGTGGAGTTGTGTCCATGCTGCGCCTCCCCAGTAGTTTGTGCTGAAGCAGTCATGCCTGAGGCTTTCACTGCTGTGTGTCTGTCCACAGCCCAGCCACCCAGCTGCATCATGGAGCATGCAATCCCACCGTGCTGTTCCCAGTTTCTCTTTTCCTGCTCACAGGCTTGTTCACCTGGCTAGAGATTACTCAAAGTCTGGCTTTCCCTAGCCGCACAAACATGTCTTTTGACCTGCTATTACACTTATTTGCAAAGTGAATCTTTCTGGGTTTTGCAAGTCAGATTTAAAATATCCAGATTGTTCATTAGTCTGCAGCTCTGTATTAGGTTAGAAGCAGCTGAAAAGGGACAACTAAGATAGCCTCAGCTGGCAAAGACACAGAGTTTAACCCAGATCTGCTGCTGGTGACCCAGTAACATGGAGATATACCCCACACCATCTCTACTCACCACCAGAGATCCACAAAGGAGACTAAATTTAAAGTGTACCAACTTCCAAGTAGACCAAACTTGAGCACATGTAAGGCTGGGGGTTGCTCAAACAACCACACACACAGAGTCTAGATTAAGTTTAAAAATGTGCTCATACACAAAGACAAGGAATTTATCGTAAAAGGAAACGTCCAATAATGCTTTTATTTTTGTTCTTTAATTCCCAGAAGGGTCATCTACAAGGTGTCTCTCCAAGAAGACTCCACAATGAAAAAAACAACCCAGAGTTGCTTCTTATTCATCATCCTTCTAACTGTAAGTACAAGAAAAGTGAACTCCTCATGACAACTGCTGTATTTAAACTTGTGGTGATGTTGAGAAAAAAGAGTACCAAGTTATACTTGTTATACTCCACAGGTGAAGGGTTTCCTTACTAATAAATTTCAAAAGAAGATTAATAAGATTATCTAATAAAAGTTTGAACTTGAATACATTGTTTCTTGGTGAGACAGAACTGCAAGTCTGAAGAGGGTTATGCATATGACTTTTCATTTCTGTGTTTTACAGGCTACAGCATGTCATGGGAACATGTGTGTTTGAAAACTGCCTTTAATGTTGTTCTGTGAGACAAACTGACTTAAGTAGCAATGCATTTTCACTGCATTTTAAATATCTTTGCACCAAAGAGCACTTAATATTCTGACCTCAATGGATAATTTAACTTAGATTTTCAAGCTTCCAATCTCTGTGTGCCTTCCTTCCCCACTGTAGTGGGCATACCGTGCTCTACTTTGACATCTCTTAGGTAATTTCCCTTTTGGTGGGGAAGAAGCCACGGTCACAGAAGCAGACCATGAATAAGCTTTTCTTTCCATCATGAAACTTATCCAGAAACTACTGTGAGATCAAATATGAAAAATATTTTGCCTCAGTCATTTTTCCAAAAACTTTCCCATCTGCAGATGGTACAAGCCATTCATTTTTGGCATTGTATTTATGGTTTGTAATGAGTAAAGGGTGTCTCTCTTTCAAAGAGGCTCTGTTGGTTCCCACTCTGTTGGTTCTTCAAACCACTCCTTTGTTCCAAGAACTGTGAGACATATCAGCCACTATCTGTAATTAATAATACAGTAAATACAGTAATTAAGATGATTTGTGACATAGACAGGAGTGATCTCCCATCCTCGGCTCTACCGACCCCACAAGACACCCTCTAGATCTCCCTTCTTTGATGATTTTCATGGTTTTCTGTTATCCTATCATTTGTGACCTGCACTCCCAGTTGACCACTGTGAGCTGTTGAAAAGCAGCACAACTTTTGAGATCCTTGTTTTCTCCTCTGTGTTGTTTGTCCCACTGTAGGTGCTGGTGTTTCCCCTGTGGTGGTCACCCCTATTGAGTAGGAGAGACTTCTACCTGAAATCTCTTTTGTTAGTGTAGCTGTGATTCCCTAACACAATCTCAGAGCTGGAGCACACCCTGCCCTCTATACACTTAGTGCTTTGTGGAAGACTCCCCAGATTCTTCTCGTATCTCTCCTTCAATATTTTGTAAGAGACAAAAAATTACTTACTTAGTTGCACAGACACTTCCTTTCCACCGCCTTCTTTAGACTTGTCACTTAGGGCTTTTGGTACCTTCTGATAGAAACCATCTCTTTTATGCATGTAATTTTTTGCACAGAATTGATAGCAATTCCATGATCCATAATAACCCGTCTTTGCCAAAAAAACCTGAAGCATGAGTTGTTCCAAAACCTAATCTAGAAATACAAGCAATTCCTTATTGTCTTCCTCTTTGATGGATTCCCTTGCTTTTGAATGCAGGATAATGCATCACCATATAGTCTTCTACTACAAAAATGAGAAAATTTAATTGTTCATTATGTCATAGTTCACTTTAGACTGATGGTCTCTAGTTTTTTGCAATTATTGAGAGCCAAAGAATGTGACTGAGATTTGTTTCTTCAAGTACGTAAGCCCTGGAATGCTGGAGCAATTAGTTCATGTCCTCAGTGCACGTTTCTCTTCACAAGAAAAATGGAGCATCAGCACAGTGTGCCCAGCAGCATCAAACTTCTGAGAATGAGGAAGAAGAAGAAGGTTTGGGTCTCTTTCCTGTGTGACCAATCAATTTTTCAGGACATTGATGGAAGAGATTTCTATTTTCTGCTTTAATTTCTCAAGTAAGAGCTGTGCCTACAAATGGCCCCGGAAATGAGGATTGATGAAGTAGTTTTTCCCACATACTCCAATTTTGTGTCCTGAGCCAACCACAACATGCATAGTAAGGACTAAATGGATGCTGCAGCTGAAGGCCACACTATTTTCAATTAGGCCCACTAGACCTAATTGAAAATATTCTATTCTAAAATAAATTCATTTTGAGCAAAAAACAAACTGTGAACATTCACTGAGTCCAAATCTGTTAAATTGTTACCAAGCCTCAGTCACAAAGGTATGCAGAGTCTGATACTTCTTTCCAACACCTGAAAGACTCGTGAATAATTCCTGTTCACAAAACATTGAAAATTAATTATATGAAAACCTAAATGTAATTTTTGGTAACTGCATAAACTGGTGTATTTTGGAACAGTGGTAGGGTATTTTCAAGTCTCCGGAACCATTAGTCAAGCACTTGTCACCATGATGGGGGAGCTGCCCATGGTGCCTCTGTTTGATCCTCACAGCTGAGAGTGCAACACGCACTGGTGGAGTGGTGTGGCCACAAACTCCACTGGGCTCCTGCTCCTGCTCAGCTCAGTGGCTCTCTGTGCATTTCTGAACCCCATTTCTGTGCAGGTACTGTGAGAACAAGCCTTTTTCTGCTTAGACAGCATCTCTTCCAGCATCTGGTCCAGAGCAGATCTCCCATGGGCTAGAAGAGCTGCTGAAGATCTGTCACAGCCTCCTTTGTCTCTCTTCTTCTGAGCCCTCTTCTCTGGCAGCCCAGAGTCTTCCCCAGCCTTGGATGGTGAGATCTCCCTAGGTCTCATCACCTTAGACCATGCCTTTGGAAGCTGCTGTTCTGCATACACACCTCCCTGTGTAAATATTTATGGGTTGCTTCATGCTGTAAGTATGTGCACTCAGAATTTCGCAACATGTTCTCACACAAGGGAAGCTCTGGAAAGCAAACTGCTGATATTGTAAGGCAGTAAGAATTAGTGTGAGAATCTGGGAGTCAAGCTGCTCATAATTTCCCAAGAAATAGGAATGCTGTATTCTGTTCTATTCACCCAGTTTCAGGGATGATCAGGACATTTTGACTATCTTTTCTCTTTTTAAAAACAAGGCTGTTGCTATGCAGCTGATTGCAGTAAAGAGGTCTCTCACAAGAGGATAATCAAGGCTGCAAGAAAATATCCATGAAGTATTCTGGATTAGCCCACAGTTTTTATCAGGCTAAAATGAAAGTAAAGCTTCTTTGTAAGCAAATCTTGTAGAAATGGAAAAGAACTGTAAGATCTGTGACTTGCTTTTCACTACAACAGCCTTGTCTTCATCTACAGCACCTGATAATCTCATGCTTGTTTAAACAGCTGCCAAATTCTACCATGTTAGTCATATGGGATCTCACTGAGATAATTACCATCCTGCTCCAACAGTGATAGAGTATGGGAAAATTCTAACATTCAGTGATTAAGTAAAACATGTCATGTTGTAGTGTTTCCCCAAAGAAATTGCCTGCTGCTTCCTAGCACACTTCTGATGGATAGAAATGATTATGTTTACTGAATATCATATGCTAATGACCTTCCTAAGGTATCACAGTTGTTTTCTTATCTGTCCCAACACTAGCAGTTGTGAAAAGTAGTTCAAACATAATCAAAATATGAGAGGGGCTCTGCAACTCATCTAAATCATGCTGAGCTCTTCCTCTAAAATGTGATGTATTGAAGAACAGGAGTTTAGTGATCCACAAAGAGATGACTGCACACAGTAGTTTTAAAAGAATTATACCAAATGAATGATTGAGCTGTTGAAATCAATAAAAAACAGTTAGAGAATCCAGAATTTCTACTAGCCTGAGCTCACCAATAATTCTTGCTACATTACTATATTTAGTGGAAGAGGGGGGAAAAAAAGACAGCTACAAATGCCTTCTTTTCCTGAATGTCGTATACAGTTAGTGTTAGTGTCCTACAAGCTCCTTGATGGCAGAACAAAAATATTTGGGGATGCTTGTTCATCGTGTCCAATATTTTGTGGGGAAGAAAAAGTGAAATACTTTTATGCTTACTTCATCTGGATTCTCCCTTGCAGAAACAGGCACAGCCTGGCACAAGTTAACAGCAGTTACTCTTACAGAAACCAGGGCATTGTTTGTTCATTCCTGTATAGTTTAATAATGAAGCCAAATTGCTTTATGAGAATCCTTTATTCATTCCAGGTATAAAGTGAACTCCAGCATTCCCAGCAGCCTGTTATTTCTCTTTGTAATGATAATTCACTCTCTTATGTCAGTCATTTGTCACGTGGTGGCTTGGTGGTCGTATGTATGACGTCATTTACTTGGACTTTTAGGAGTGACATCATATGTACGGCTGCTAAACTGCTGCATGGGCCATCACTTAAACTGTTTTCTTCTGAAGAATTCAGTGCATTTTTAAGCAATGATCACATTGATTATTGTGAATTATTTATTTCTCCTTAATAAAGAATGTTTATAAATGAATGAGGCATTCCTTTATTGTATAAACATCATCTATATTTCCATCTGAAGTGTCTGATGAATGGATGGGAAGGCTTTTTAATGTGCATTAATGAACTATGAACATTTAAAATTTGTTCCATATTTTATGGGTTAAATATTTATAGGTAGTTGCCAGGCAAAGATTAATTAACCTTGGATTTTTGTGGTCCAAATGTGTCTTTTAAGTCTTAATTTCTAAAATACATTGACATAACAATGAAAACATAGTAGAAGAGGTGAGTCAAAACCATTAATTCCATGAGAGCTTATACAAACACTGATACACAGATATTCGTGGGACATTCTCAACCTTTCCCATTAACACAATACAGACTAAACTTTCTCTCCCATGTAGTCATAGCCAAGCTCCTGCTATTTCTGAGAAGATAATAATGACCCAGAGATGTCTTCCTGCCCCATTTGCCTTTTTCTGACCACTACAGTAAGGGGTGAGGGAGACTAAAACAAGTAATAACACCTGGCATCACAAACTGCATCAAAATTCTTGTCTGACTGCAGGTATATAAAGGCTGGATCATCAGCCCACTGGACTGACTTTGGGAGGTCAGGCTTTAAATTCTGGGTGGTGGACATAGGATTCTCTTTTGGATGGTAAAAAACACAGTATTTGAAACAGGGATATGACTTCTCCACCTCCAGAAAGCCACAACATTTATATTTCATTTATCTGCTGAAGTGGTAATCTGATTCATATGGAGAAGAAAATTGTGTTCAAGCTTCCAAGGCCAGCTTTTCAGATCTAGGCAAACAAAAATGAGGAATAGCAATCAAAGGAGAGAGTAGATTTAAAGGGCATATCACAGATAACATACCTATGTATAACCCCTTAATTTGAGTTCCCACACAAACTATCCAATTACATAAAAAGTGCCCAGAAAGATTTTTGGAGAACTCTTGAGTCATTGTGTTTAGTAGAAAGAAAAAGAAAAAAGGGAAAAAAAAAAAAGAATAAAAATAATTTAAGAGACTGTCTTGGTTTAGGGTAAATTTGGGAGAAAACCTCCAAAGGGGGCCCCACCAGAAAGCAAACCCACATCGCCCCTCCCCACAGCTGGTTTGGGAAGGATTCCTCAAAGAGAAGTGGAAAGAACCTGTTTATTTAACAGACACAACACCCCCCAGCACAAAAAATGAACAATACTTGATGATAAAACTCATTCACTGCTCTGAAGAGATGACAAATTCAGAAAGTCTCTCTGGTGGGTGGCCGCACGGTTATCAGTCCCTCCAGCACTGGGAAAGGCTGTAGAATGGGCCCCAGCAAGCTTCTCGGTGTTTCGTGGGTCCTGGTCTGGAGCAGGTTCAAATGGTTCCAAGAAAAGGGAGAGAAAAACAGCCTGGGAAAGCTCAGACTCCCTCAGCTAGCTAAACTAGCTAACTAGCTAAAAAGCAAAATGAGTGTGGTGTTCTGCCCCGTCCGTGCTCAGACAACACAGTCCAGCCGAATGTGGAGGAGTGAGTGAGGCTGATAACAGAAACTGTGCTTCTTCTCCCCACCTTTGTTGTCAGAGCCAGTCTTGAAGGCACAGAATATAATATCCAGCATAAACAGAGCAGACAATTGGGGATAAAAGCATCATAAAGTAACCCTAGGACAGAGACAATTATAAATCTAGTGTTATTATTCCAACTTTTATCCAAACTTGCTTTCATTTTACTGGAGGCCATTAAGTGATTTCCACTGATGAGTTTTAGTGACCCAACTCATCCATATTTTCATCTGTCTGAGTGAATTTCTGGTCTAAATGTGGGCAGTAGAAATTTCATTGGCAGCTTCAGCTGCTCCACGATTGCCTTGTGCACAGGCAATAGAATGGGCCTCCTGGTTACATGGCTGAACACTCCTACATAATTTTGTGCACAATGCAAGACATTTAATCTATCCACCATCACAGGTACTCTCTACCTCCAAGGATCAGAATATTCTCATTAAACTGTACCCAATAAGAGCCAACTTCTTCAGGAATTACACACTGCAAGTAATGAAAATATAAGAGTACTGTGACTTTAGTGTCCAAATTGTCTTTCACCCCTCAAAACCATCATCCCACATATGGATGTGCTCCCAAACTGGCCAAGAATTGCAGAGAAATTATCAAGAAGAAAGGCATTGCCACAGAAGTCCTCCTAGCATCCTGTGATGAAACAGGTATTTCTGTCTTGAGTACAAACAGTTTGGAACTGAGGTATTATTCAAAATAAGAATGGAAAAAATTACCATGCAGTATCTACTAATCACTTCAGAGAAGCACCAGAGCCTGTGTCATGGACATGGACATGAAGGGCTAAGACAAAGATGAGGTTATCTGAAGAACCTCATCTCCACTTTCCTGTGCTGGATTTAGGATTTTGCTTGGCTGGCTTTTAAACTATACTTGGGGACTCCAGCTGCTCCCCTTAGTCTTTTTAAAGCTAAGGGGTCTGTGATGTTTGGCTTTGCTTCTGTATTTCCTGTTCTGACTTTCTTGATACTAAATTTTTCACTTGGATGGCCAGATGAAATGTTCCAAATGGCTTCATTGTCCAAATATATCTTGGGCAGAGGGGGAGACGGTGATGTATACATACATCTAAAATTTATATAAAATTATCTCTGCCAGAAAATATTTTCATTCCTATTCCTCCTACTTTATTTCAAGCACCTACTTAAGTACAACAAGATTGGCTGCCTCCATGTCCTCCAGCTAGCAGGTGTATACAGTTGAAAACATCTGTGTCAAAAGAGATGAGATGAGATGAGATTAGAAAAGCATAATTGATTTGATATAAGAGTATAAAAAGATTAAGTTTACATGGTTTGGTACAGAAGTATAAAAAGTAAAAAAAGTAATGGCTTTTTTTTCAACGAAGTCAAACATACTGGTTTTGCCATGTATTTACAAAGGTGATTTAGCATGCAAATGGGGGGGGAAAGTAATGTATTGATGGAATACAATTGCCTGTGATGTGACATAAAGAAGGGGCAGAAAAATGTAACATGTAAGAAGATATTTGAATTTTCAAACCTGTCATGTTTTAAGTTCAAACAACTACAAATGCTTGCCTAAAGATCTCTGTATTAGCATTTGCTGCTAAAAAAGGTCAAGTTTGTGTGTTTATGAGAGTCCTAGATTTTGAAGCAGCCTGCAAATGAATCTAAATGTGTTTGTGATGGCTTTAGTACCACATAATATAGGGGAAAACAGAAGGTCATGCTAGGAAAGTGCTACAGCAATGTTGCTTTTGAGTGGGGAAGCAGAGGAACTCATTTTTTACTATCACCCTCAAGCAAAGAAGAGTCATGATAAAGGATTGAGGCAGAACAGAACAAACCAAAGCTCCACACTTTCATTTCTGCTCACAGACCTCAGCTGTACAAGGAAGGGAGGGAAGGAGGGGTGGAGTGATTGAGGGCAGGATGGATGGATGGATGGATGGATGGATGGATGGATGGATGGATGGATGGATGGATGGATGGATGGAAGGTAAAAGGGCAAAAGAGCATAACTGACCTCTCTAGCTGAGATCTTTGCCTTCCAAAGGCAGTGATCCTTTCCTTTAACAGGCAGGCAGTTCAGAGTGGGATCATTCAGAAGATGCCACTATATCAAAGAGGACCTTGCTATTTAGACTATCAAATTTAGGAGGTCTGCTTAGGTACTTAACTAAGAGCTAAGGTCAGGTATTGATATTTAAACTCTACGTTCTTTGACCTTAACTGTTGCAGAAGCTCAAAGCAAAGGTTGTGGCACTAAGGTATTTTGTCTGCACTGTCTAGAGTTAAATCAGCACAAGTGAACAGAAATACATGGGTTTAACAGAAAATTCTCTTGCAGACACTAAAATAAATGAAAAGATTTTGATGACTTTATCAAGTATTTAATGACCATCTCTTCACCAAGAAAAATGGCTTGGTTAAAAGATTGTGTTTTCATGAGGTAAACTAATAAAATTCAGCATTTACTTTGCAAGTAGTACAAGGCCCATCATAATGATAAACATATGTGAAAATAAAAGGCCTTTCAAGAATGAGTAATAGAAATTTCTTGCCCTCACTTTTTATAAATTTAATCCTCTTTGTTTATCCAGTTGTACTAACAGCTTTTCCTTTCCATACAGAGAATTGTTCCAAGTCTTTCTTCTGCTGTAAATTATACTGATACTACATTAGAGCCTGTAGTAACTGAAAATTCAGTCATACGGCAGAAGATAATAGATTCACAGTTCAAATGTTACGAGAGGATGAACAGAGCTCCTCCATACAAGAAAAAAGGTAAAAAAGGTTTTTTAAGAATCTGTATTTTGCCATGTGTGATTATAGAACTCTGAAGAAATATTTTCTTCTCTATACTAACCCATAGTCTTCCTCAGGGTGCAGTTTCCTTTCCACGAGCAGTAATCAAACTCACACTTAGCATCCTCCTAAGGGCAAAGAAAGGAAAAAGCCTGGAAGGAGCCCAGGGAATGAACAGCTCTTCCTCCCTCTGTCACCTACATTTCTGGCTCAGTGCTTTGCTGCTTGAATTTTTCTTGTTCTTGCTTCAGGAATAACCTGATTGTGAACCCTAAATATAAATGTTGTTCTGTTTGCTCCACTCAGTGTTTCAATTTTTTGTCATTTCTGTATTGACTGCTGGGTGTCGTGCTCTGTACCAGCACAAGCTCCACATATTCTATATTCAGCAGCAACAATAGGAAAAAGAGGTTTATAAAACACTGAGACTTATAAAAGAGGTTTGTAAAACATCTTTATTGAATAGAAGGCATACACAAAGACTAATAAAAAGGGAAATGACAAATAATAGTGGTACTGCAATTGTACTTAAAACAGCATTTCTGTTTGGGACTGAGAGTTCTGGTCACTTTTTTCACAGTAGATCTGAATGAAGATATGAGGAGCTAGAGAAAACTATATCACAGGAAGTGTGAGACTTCTGCAAGCAAAAAACAGATACTGAGGTCATAGTTTAAAGGGAAAATATACTTTAAACAATTAACAAAAACAGATAATGTGGGATTTTTTGTAATACAAGAATAAATATATTTCTACAGCTCTTATCTTAAAAATTTTGCTGTGATCTGTAAGACTCAAAAAAGAGTTAGATGTTAAGACAGATAATCAGGTCTTGATGCAGAACTGTTTGGGAATGAATATAGAGATTTCCGCTGCTTAACATAGGTTTTGATTTAGGCAAATAATACCCACAAGCAGTTAAACAGGATTATTGGATAGAGGGAATGATATTTCAGTTTAAAATAAGCCTTTTAGTTGCTGGACTTGCAGGGGAAGTAACTTACTGTTTCTTGCTAGATTACTCTTTTAGTCTCCACCTCTATAAACACCTGATTTTTGCATCCATTGACAGTAACCACTGGATTCACCTTTCTTTTGCACTTTCCTTGTGTGATAAGTTGCAAAGGGTTGATTTTCCAGCATGAGTTGGGAATTTATATGTATCAAGACAGGATTTCCTAGTAGTATTCTCAAGGGCAGTGCTGTTGCAGGAGGACAGCCTGCATTCCTTCAGCTGGCAGCTAAATTTAAGTGATGCCATTGGGGGCTGTTGGTTCATGGTAACGTGCACTCAATTCATTTTTAACTCAGAATGAGGGTACTGGGTGACTACAGAATGGTGCCAGCACCACTGAAGTTGTGTTCTGAAGACATTGTAAAATGAGGAGCTCAGGCACATGGAAGGACATGACCACCCCCCCAGAACAGCAGTGTGTCCATATATATATATATGTGGGTGTATATGTATACATACATAGATAGACAGATAAAGATAAATGTGAACATATACATATATATATAAAATGTATATATATATATATATTTATATATATATCTCCTGATAATTACCTTGGAAGACAAGTCCATGATGCATAGGTTGATGCATAGGTGATTATTTTTCTTTATCAGGCCAGGCAAAGGATTTAAAGTTTTAAAACTAGATTTTCCCTCCAACTCCATTTGGCACTACTTTTCAAAAACAAGCTCAAATTGCAATCACTTTCTACTCCTTCTTCTTCTTTGGTATTACAAAAATGTTCCTAAAAGTTTTTCAGATACATTTCAAAGATATAGAAGAATATGACAATGCCTGAAGGAAAGATAACAAACTGCTGATATGGTGATTGGATAATTAAGTGAACGAGTAACGTTTGCACATTTAACTTGATAACTGAAAAATATATGTGCATAAAATCTTAGCTAATGAAGAAAAAGTGTGCATAAGAATTTCTTTTCTGAACAAGATCTAATCTGGGAAAAATTTGGTTTTAAATTTTATGCTTTTTATTTTTAATCAACAACTACTTGACTTACAAACAGTTATTGGTGCAAGTTGGAACAATTCAGATGTCTTTTCACAGCTTTTTTGCTCCAGTTAGAAAGTTTATCTGTGGATAGTTTCAAAAGCTCTAGAAGGAACTGTTATATGTTAATAACTTGCCGTGGTTATTAGGTGCTTTCTATTACAATTCTTTCAAAAACAACCTTCATTTTAATACTTTCTCAGGCCCAGAGTGAAAAAAAAAGCTAAAATGCATCTTCTCATTCTGTTTCACTTTACCCTGATGATCTTGGTGACAAATACTTTTTCCCCAACACAAACTGGTTTTGAATGGAAAATAACCAGCAAGTGTAGGGGGAGATTAATGTATTTCTTGTATAAATCCACAATGAGTCATGTTACACATTACAGCAAGCAGCCTTGGAGCACAATTTCTGAGGACCATGGCATGTACAATCCCTGTAACAGGGATCAGCAATGAGCCGAGTGCTGCTGTTTGGGGGCTGGGAACATCCCACAGCCTCAACAGCACCACCTTCCCAGAAGGGCATGATGAGGACAGGATCACAGCATGCCTACCCAAACATCAGCAGGCAGAATCTGCCTGCTACAGATCTGTCTTGCACCTGCTTCACTGCGTTTGTAGTGACATCACTGACCTCTGGTGCTGAACGAGGCAACAGCCTGGCAGGGACCTGTCTCTGCTAATGTTGCTTTTAGTTGGGATGTCCCCATAAATGCTTCCTATCTTTACATTTCAAATGCCTGATTGTCAGACCTACTGAGCAGCAAAAGGTGAAATGAGAAGTGGAAGTCTCACAGGTCCTTGAGCACCACTAGTGTACATGCTTAGAGCTGACAGAAAGAGATTCAAGAAGAGAACTTTGTAGGATTGGACCCTACACTCAAAGTTCAGTCCAACATGCTTTAAAATATAACTTTCTGGTAAAATGAACACCACTAACATCAGGTCAGTCAAAACAAGTACCTTCTAGTACCTGAATGCCACTCTGAGTGTTACAATAATAAAAGGATATATTACAAAAAGAAAGCTTGATAGTCTGCAGGCAGCAATAATCCTCAAGAGGCTAGAACAGAGTGGTTCAGGAGGGAGTAAACTCTTTTTGTGGAACTAACTCTTGCAATCTTCTTAAATGCCCAGGTCTGTTCTGCAACCGAACATGGGATGGCTGGTTGTGCTGGGATGACACACCTGCTGGAAGGCTCACTGCTCAGAATTGTCCAGATTATTTTCCAGACTTCGATCCAACTGGTACAGTATTTCTTTTTACCATTTTATCTTCCAAAGTATGTCTTCAGAACATTTGTGCCATTGAGTGGATGTGCTCAATCCAGTGAAATTTTTGCAGCTCTGTGAAATCTCAGAAAGTTTGGTTGAAATTAAAACACATCAAGCTTTTGGCTTCCATAATTAACATATTTTAATTTTTAAAATATTTTATATGTATTTATATTTATGTAAATATAACCCATAGATTTATGGAACCTAGTTTATGAAAATGTCAGCTTCTGAATTATAACATCAAGATATTCTTAGCACCTCATTCTAAGTTTTTATAATGAAGAGAAGATGCTTATGTGCTTGAAATATGTATCAGTATGTTCTTTGTTCAGTTTTTATTGGAAAATATAGTTTTATGAAAGAAGATGAGCAGAAATAATGTTCTTTCAGTCTCTGAGTTTCAGTTCTTAGCTGAATTATTCATACAAATACTAGAAGTACACTGAGAGAAGTAATTGAAGAATATTTGAAAGAAAAAATAAAAAATCAATGCAAGTATTTCTAAATAGATATGAGGAAATATTAGACACAAGTTTAACTCTGCAAAGACTACTGTTTGAAGAGAGACACAATTGTGTGTTCCTTGCTCAGGACATGTTGCTTCTAGGTGGTGCTCGATGGCACACTATGCTAAATTCGACATAGTCACAATGCACCAATTGCAGTTAAAATCTATGAAATTAAACATTTGGGAGGGAGAGAGTATAAATCTGAAAATTTTCAACCAGCTTAACCCAAAATGCATGTGCCCAACTGGAAATGAAGGAAACGAACTATACCTGTGAGTTAATTATCCAGCACCAATAGCTAAAATTGATTGTCTTGAGCTTATTGCTTATTTAGAAGCTGAGAAGTTTCCAGGTTGAATCAAACCCCGTACACATTTTGCTGAATCCCATTTATAATAGCAGCCAGACTGATTGTTATTTCTGTTCTTCATAAATCAAGCTGTCCATAATTACAGAATTCACACAGCAAGTAGCAAATTTCCAACTTCCGACCCCGTCTGACCTCCATTCAATCTTTAGTGAAGGAACGTTCCCCTTTCTCGTGGAAGTAGGCATTGGACAGGATGGATTGAAGGAAATCTGTTTGATTCCTGTTTGCTCAGGAATCTTGTGCTTGGAAAGTGAGCTTCTGTGGCAAGGTCACTATCCACTTCCTGTGGAAACCCCCTGAGACAAACCCAACACATCTTTACAGCAAGTTACACCCCTGAGACAGACAATGGGCAACAAATCATAAGGTCTTGTCTTTTGTGCCCTTTCTTCACAAGACTCAATCTCTGTTCTGTACAGTATCATAATTTTCAAGGAGTCTTGGAGCAGGGTCATGCTCATGGCTCTTCATTGGAGCACCTGGGGACAACAGACTGAGAAGCTGAGACCCTCAACTGCAGGACTGCCTTTCATTCAGGTCTCCCTCTCTGTGGACCAGTACTTCAACCGTTAGACTATTTGCACAAAAGATTCCAAAAGAACATTTGAGAAGAATTGGCTAAACTTAGTTCAGTTCCCACACAGAAACACCCACATTCAGGAGAGAGCCTGAGACTCTGGATCCTGAGGTTGCACAAGATTTTTCCTGCATGCGTATTAGAAGTGCCTCTAAGATGTGGTCTGTACCTTCTGTTTCAGACTCCATTTTACTCATGATATCCCTCCCACACTGCAACAGCCCTCTTTATGACTAGGAAGATTTACTACAAGTCTTTTCCTTTCCCTGCTTCCATGGTTTTCAAGGAAGAAAAAAATATGTGGCACTAACAGTCTTAGTTTATGTATACTCCATGCAATGCTCAGCTTGTACCTGCAATGGTGGGTGTTAGGCAGCCTTGTGATCACAGAAATGACTAAAGATCCTCATCCTTCATAGATGAGAGTGATTTCAGAGCCACTCTCCTACTTGCTCCCCAACCAACTATTCTCAGCTTTTCCTCTTGTTGGTCTCCAGTGACTTATTCTGAACTAATTGCTCTGCTACAACAGCACTTTTCAAAGAAACACTTGAAGACATCCATAGAGAAGCATCTCACTCCACTTACTAATACTCATTAACACCAAGGCCTGTGGCTTGTACACTGATTGCAAATCACTCCTTAATGTACAAATGCTGGCCATGAAGTCTGGCCCACAGTGTGTCCATACTGCAGCTACTCTTTCTGGCAAGATTTAATAGTTGAAATCTGGGGATTTTTTTAGTATTCCTGTTCTGTGTACAGCGCCATTGGAAGAAAAGCCTCCTCCAGTAATTAATTTTCTACTGTTTTCTCTGCTATCCTCTTTAGGGACAATACCTGTGGTCTTCTGGACCCAGTATTTTCCCCTGGCACATTTCTCTTCTCCTGTCAGTCTCTTTGCCTGCATCCTGGTCAGTGAGCCCTGTTTCCCAGGTTGGCAGCAGCTCAGCATCTCCTGGTTGAGCCAGAGCTGCCTTCCTAGAATAGCTGTTGAGTAACCCAGCATGTGTTACAGATGTGGCATCAAACCAGTGGGTAGTGAGCCTTGCTTTACAGGTGGTTGGTTGTCACACAGAGACTTAATAGAGTAGGAGGGAGACAAGAAATAAGGAGGGTGTCTACAAGTCTGTCAGCTGCTAATGAAAGTGGCTGCCACTAACAGGTGGCCAAAAGCACAGACTGAATGTCCTGAGAAGTCTATCAGGTTTTGTATCACAAGTCATTATTTCCTTTGGTACCTTATTCATGTAAAACAAAATACAGCCAGCTTTTCTGCTGAGAGACAGAAACTTCATCCTAAAAAATAGCAATTTTCCATGATGTAGTGACTGTCAGATTTCCTCCCCATCGAGTCTCTGACATCCAAATACCTCAGTATATATTTTAGGCATGCAAGTAACCCCATGGATTTCTGAAACAAGTATTTCATGCTGTGTTATTTTGGGCTGCACCATGATCTGCAAAACCACTGTGTATCAGTCAATTGATGGTTATGTCACTTCACTAAGAGGCCATGAGACCTGAAATAAAATAATGTCTTTCTTCTGCATTTTTTGCTTTGATACTTACATCATTCATAATTGGAAAAGTGAAACATTATTGTCAGCCTAGTATTGAATCCTCCTCTCATCCATATCCATGGGTGCCAAATACCAGCCCTATGTATCTGATCCTCAACAACATTCAGCACTGATGCCAAGAAGAAATTGATGGAATATATTAGAAAGTAAAAAAGGTGAAATTGTATTCTGAAGAAAACAACACAGAAACAAAGTGAAGGAGAACATAGTCAGTGCTCTGTTCATTTTCTGTCTGACAACTTCACAGTTAGCTACCAAGTGTAGTCCCACCTATTTCACTGAACTTAGATCAGTTCTTACTAGACAGGAATGTGTTCTGAAAGAAGCAATCTCTTTCTTGCAGTGCACATCATGCACAATGTGATAATGCATAAAAACAAATCAATTTGTCTGGAAAACCTAACAAGACCTACTGCTTTAATGCCAGCGACAGCAGGAAATTCATTGTCTCATCCACTTCTGGCTGTGAAGCTCTGAGCAGGGCTATTTTATATGCTCCTATTCAGGCAACATGCAATTCTCTCAATTTGTATTTTATATTCATATTTTAGACAGGTTAATCTTTAGTATAATCCCTCTGAAATGGTTCCACGTCACATTGAAATTGGTAGGAGTTTAGTTTTTGAGGAATGCAGTATGTAATTCAAGCTGTTAATATTCTTACTAATGGAAGAAAAGAAAGTACACTGTGGATATAATGGCCTTCTAGCAAGGCAGGTTTGCTGGGGGCAGCAGGAGGAGCTGAGCCTTGCCCTGTGCTACCTGTGGGCTGTTGGGTTTGTGGCAGGGAGCCTTACATTGCCCACCTCACTGTCCCTGTACAGTGCATTTAGTCAGGATTATTTTGGTGCAGACATATAGCAAGGGAGCCAAATGTGGAAGTGTTTTGTGGCTGACACCCCTTTTCATCTCCGCTTCACTCTCTTTATGTTTTGGCAGAAAGCAGTGTTTAAGAGCAGTATCCACCCCACTTTGTGAAACAAAGGTGCATTTAGCAAAACTCCCCTCAGTTCTCTGATTTGTTGGGTTTCTGTCCTTAGTTCCCTTTTAAAAGCTATTACTCATAATTCTTCATGTAGCTTCAGGAGAAGAGTTTCTAGAAGTGCAATTTGGAAGCAAATCCATATGCATCCATAGGCAATTAGATGATTATTAATCACATGATGATTAATGTGTTGTTGCCTCCTACAACTGCCTTGCCTTCCTGCTGTGACACTGGGAGAGGACTTCTCTTGCTACTACAAAATCTAAATTTTGGCTGTATTTAACTAAAATAGATAGTTCTGGATTTCTGCTGGTCCTATTTTCTTGCCTTGAAGGATATGATTCAGACAATCATAAAAAAGACAAACCTGAACTCTTTGTCCAGCTTCTTCTTTTCTTCTTACCCTTCTGTGTATTTATGTCCTGTTCCTTAGCAAGTTTGACAGCTGCATTTTAAAAATCAATTCCTGTCCCCATACTGCCCAATATCACTCTTATAGAGATTCTAGTTCTGCTGACTAAGACATTCTGAAGACAGTGATAATCCTTCATTTACTAGGACACTGGAATTGAAGTTTTCTAGGGTCTCCATTGAATTATATGAGACTTTTTTTCATTTTTGAAAAGATTTTTTCCAGAATATTTTACTGAAGATGTGAGTAAATCAGATGTGCAACATCAACTATTCCTTCATCTGCAAAATGAAGCACTGCACAGGTCTATCCAAACAATGGCAAAGAATTCAGTGTCTGGTATGTGCTGACCATGACTGCAACAGGGGAGAACTTGTTTCTTCTTCCATCTTACAACTCACCAATAAACAAAAAACTGATGTTAGTTCCTTTAACATGTGCTAGCTATAGCTCTGGTCTAATTGTGAAAAGCCTGATTGATAGAGCTATCATGTTGTTCCAGAGATATTAAGATATTTGTTATATGTAGATGACCGAGGGTTTTTAATGAGCTTATGATTCATAAAAGCACTATTAGTGGCACAAACAATAACCATGGAAATAATTGCTACTGGTTAATCTTTCAAGACACTTCACTGCTCCCACAAAACTTCCATTCTGGATGAGATTGCTCACATCCATTTTGTCCAGACAGTTCTTGAAGTGTCTATCTCTCTCAAGTAACAGCAAAGATTCTGCACAGCTGCCAATGAATTACGTAGCTTTGAGGTTCTACAATCAGGTGGGATTAGTACAATGTGATGTCACTGTTCTTCCACTTTGAATAATAAAATGTCCAAGCAGTGTCCCATCCAACCTGATAGGGTACTGACAGAGCCTAAAAAATTCGTGTTTACACAGTATTCCAATAATGTCAAAGCCCAAAGTTCCATTTTGCCTTGCTAGTGTTGTCTTGCCCATCCTTGCAGATGTGTATTTTTTCAGATTTTACCATATCTTCTGTTTAGCACAAAGAACCAACGCATGCCCAGGTTCATCCACCACCTGCTACTGGGTCACTCTAGAAAAACTTGCAGTACAACAGTGGTTGGATTGCAGCTCTGTTTCTGTACAAAAGAATAGATTTAGAAGAGATGTTTGACCTGTGTGAGTCACTAGGAGGGACAGTAAAAAGCCCTTATTCCCCAGTAGTGTATTCCCACATCACAGCAAGAAATCCATGGGACATTGTCACTTTCAGAGGAGGATCAGTTTTTAGTAGGATCAGTGTTTGTCTGGCTTTAAGGAAAAGTATGAGGTGAAAGGTTTGTCTCTAACCTACAGAGGCCACATTATACTCTGGCAGAGTGCCTGCCCAGGCACTGAAGTACAGACATGATGGATGACATTGCCATACGTTCTCTGTAGCAGATGAACAAAAGCCGTGCGCTTCGCAGGGATAATCAGTGCAACGCTTGCACACCGTGTACCGTGGTAGCGTAACCATTAATCTTTCATCTGTGACTGAAAACTTTTTCCAGCTTTTGATAGCATCTGGCAATGAGTAAAAGGAACATTGCTATTGCTACATGGGCAGTCTGACATTATCTCCAAGCTTCATGTAAAATAACATGTACTGTTCCTCTTGGTATTGTTGATGCACGTATTGATATTTAACAAGTCCCCCAAAACAATTATTTGAAATCCACAATAATTTTTAAATATCCTGTGTTCTGAAGGATTTTTAATTTTTTTTTTTCTGCAAGGGCACTATATAACATGTATTTGTAGTCAGAGTAAAATAACTCAGTCTATACTATCTTTACCTTACCCATATGATCAGTTCCTTTCTTTAGGCTTTAGGAGTATGAATCTTACAAATTAATAGAACCATTAATCATCAGACAAAGAAAAGTAAGTGGGAACAATAACCACAAAAAATGAAAATGTGTATGTTCAAATGCCTATGGGCTCTGTAAAAGTGAATTGACTGGAAATGCTGATAATCTAAGCATAAAACCAACCAAATTATAGAGCTAGAAAAAGCAAAGGAAATTCAAGATAGACTTTTCACACTATTTTAAAGGTCAGAATTTAAAACATGATTTTCATAAGTCTCTGTGTCACTATCTAAGAAAACATCAAATAATTGTTTATTATTTTATAAGTTTATGATCTTATCCTGTCTTTGTTACTTGGGCAAACATTCCAGTAACTCCCCTGTGGCTAATGCTCAAGGAAAGGTCAAAGGAACTGGCCCAAAACTTGACGGGTGATTAGGAGGGACCGTCTGCACCTCAGCATCCAGGGTGTCCCCAGCAGGAGTGTGAGCCTGACAGGGGGACACAGACACAGCCCACGCCTGCAGCTCCGGGCACCCCACAGAGCTGTGCCCTGTTGAAGCCCCATTGTTCCCCACCACAGCAAAAGGATGTGCAGGGGAGCACGAGCCTGGAGCACCGTCCATATGGCACGCCTGTCAGGAAGGACACCAGAGCCACCTGTGGTAAAGGAGCCAGCACCAGAGACACCTGTGTAGAGGCCAAAGACATGTCAGATTATTGAAACAGAGAGCTCTGCAGCCATCTTAAATTGAACTGGACATGTGGGATCAGTGCCAAAACGTTTGTGAGGCTGCTTGTCTCTGTGCCTGCATGCTGTGCAGACCCTGAGGAGAGCAAGCAATGCTCCTGCTCTGCATGTCAGAATTCCACCAGTGGGGAGTCTGGGAGAGACTTTTCCACTCCTCTGCACAAAGAGAGCTCAGGGCTGAATCTGTTGGCATCTCCAGCACCCAGGCTCTGGTTTATACATTACCCACTGCCTTTATCTACGCAATATTTTTAACTCATTTAACCCTGATACTTGGAACCCTGAGCACTTCCTTCAGGCATCAGCACCTGTGGATATTTTCTCTTCCATAAACTGCTGTCAACAGCCTCTTTAAATGGATTATTATCAGCTAAATATTGTGTCTGAATGAAGGCTGACATATATACCCTAGTGGGTGCAGTCAAAAAGGAGACAGGTAAACAAGTTTACCACCAGATGAGTCTCAAAAAAAACCCAACAAAACAGCAAGATGTATTAATGATGTGTATTAATGATATTAATTACACATGTTGAAAATAATTTGGATTTTATTATGCAGACATTTTATTCCCAAACAAAGAAATCATTTTAGATGGGTTTTTTAATTCATACTACACATGTATTAAAATAACTATTATTGCAATTTATCATCAGAGAGGGCCTCAAAATATTGTGATGAAACTGGAAATTGGTTCCGCCATCCTGAGAGCAACCGAACTTGGTCCAACTACACCCTGTGCAACTCTTTCACCTCTGAAAAATTGAAGGTATGCTGAACTTAAAGAGGCAGTGGTTGTTTGGCAATATTTTGGGCTGGGCTAGCAATATACATGTGAGAGAGACTAGAATAGCCCTATCTTAGCTTTATTTATTGCATAAGACTTAAATAACATTGTTGTTGTGATTTCAGCTTATCCAAATTCTTTAATGAGTGCTCAAACCTCAATATTGGTTTGCTATGGGGTGGATAATTTAGTGGTAATTCATATGACAAGTTCTACAGTATTTTTTCAGATGCATTTTTAATTCCTGTGATTTTCCCTGCTTGACCAACAGTTATAAAATAATCTTTTAGAGTCTCAATTTTGCTTTCTGTAACAATAATATCCCAAGATGTTGATGTCTTCTATGCAGGGCTAGTAATATTAATGTAAGTCAAAATTATTTTTCTTAAGCAAAGAATATTACCCTGTACTCACACTCTTTGAAAAAAATATTTATGAAGGTACCATTAATCCAGAAAATCTTACAAGCATGAACACATTTAACTTTGACTTTTACTGAAGTAATTGAGAGTATTTACAATAATGAATAAAGTGTTTAATTATTAATGAATCAATATTTCCAAAATCAAGGTGCTAAACTGAAAGAGAAGAACTAAATATAAAAGCACCAAAAGAAATAAGGAGAGAGAAATCTGAGAAAAACTTTTAAAAAATTAAGTTAGGGAAGTTCATAAAAATAAATGTATTTCTCAAATGCAAGTGGAGGTCCAGGAAAATCTGATTACAGATTTGTGACAGAATAATTTGTGACTATTTGGAACAGTGGAAGGAAAATATTCAAGAAGTGATTTGATTTGGGGTTTGTGTTGGAGGACCTCTTCTTATACAGCCAAAAAGAAGTATGCAGGTAACTCAGCCCAAAAGGCCTTGGAAAAGTCTGTTGGGCTAGGCAGGAGGTGAATTCTAAGAGTTTTTGCAGCATGACAAACCATCATGGTAAAATGAGGCTCATCTATGTGACAAGGCCAGAATAATAGTAACAATATGAGCTTACAGAGGCATTACATTGAAGCACCATAAATATATAATTTTTCCAGATGTTGGCACATGTAAGGAGGCAAAAAATGTGGTTCTGTTACCTATTATCAATGCCTTCCAGAAGAAGAATTTTGAACATCATTCATGCAGAGAACAGATAGAATAAAAAGGAAAATTGTATGCACATCATGATTTTTCCAAAATGAAAAGTTGTGGAAAATGAAGAAAGAATCTATTCTTACAGAAATGCCAAGTTAGATTATGACCTTTAAACCAAGTCTTCAGTAAACAGAAATGTGCTTCATTTGTAGACTATTTCCACTTACCTACACATAATATACTCACTTTACAGAGTCAAAGGTATTACTCTTAGAGAATTCTCTTCCTTCAAGTGAAGAAATCTAGAGGAACAAGGAAGAACATTTAAGTTTTCTAAATCCAGGTTAAAAAATCTGAACAAACAAAAATTGTAATGGATCAGCATGTTATATAAGCCTTATGTGTCAAGGAATGGAAAAATTATTAAAAGTGTTCATTATCTGTTTGAAGTTAACTGAAAATATCAACATGTTATACTTTTGAGACAGATCATTGAAAAAAAATTATAGCCAGTTCTTAAAAATGTAATGATATATGTATTCTTTGTTAGCTGACATTTCAGTCCATTTTGATCTGCCGTCATTGTTATATTTTAAGGCTTTTTTAAGCATTTGGCACTGTAAATTTGCAGGATGCAATAAAAAAGCAGTTGCTGAGTCCCAGATATACAGTTACTTTAGCACCTGAAAACAGAAATTTCAATAGATTGAATAACCAAGTATCCTCCAGGGTGTACATAAACTTACATGTAACTATCTGGAGATCTTTCCTACTTTTTTCAGGCCATAGGTTGTATAAAAGATAGGTAGAAAAATATATTTTTGAACAGGTCACCTGTAAATTAAGTTCAGGCTTTAAGAATATATCCATTTAATGTCATTAAAAAACACAGCAATCATGTAGTATGAAGTGGAACAAATGTCACATGTACACAGGTAAGCTTCCCCCACTACTCTGCATTGGAGAAAGTTGTCTCATCTTCTCCACACTCACGCCTGTCCTCTCTGGGATTGCTGGTGCTCTCAGAACAGGTTATCAAGCATTTGTGCTCACTAACAATGCAGTGGTTAGTCTTTGTGAAGGAGAACTAGGAGACCTAGTATTTTTAGTAAATATGAACAGTTTTCCACAACTTGGTGAATTCTGTTTACACTCAGATCATGTCTCTTCTGCGTGGTCAAATCAGTGTAAATGTGACTCTGGTTTAAATTTGAATCAGGCCACCACCACCTAGATAAATGAATGCAGAAACTTATTTGAAAGTTGCAAAATGTCTCGAGACCAAATTACATAAGGTATGCACCTTTACTAAGGGGAATGGCTTTGCTTTCTAAATTGTTTTCATATTTGTTCTCAAGGGAAAGTTTAAAATTACTTGGAAACACCAAAAAGATGTGAGTGTCAAAACTTCAGGCTACAAAAAGCAATTCATCTAATCACTGAGAAGAGGAAAAATGCTCATGCATAGCAAAAGAAAAATTAATGAAATAGAGCTGAAAAGAGAATAAACCCAGCAGAGGAACTAAGACTTACAGTCTTTTTTCCTGGATGGGCTGCTGCCATGTCCTTGCTTTCAGAAAGGAGCAGTGGTGAAGCCTGTCATGGCGTTTTGCCTTCTTCACTCACTCCTCTGACAGATGGCTGATGCTTAAGAGCTTGGCTGAGACCAAAGTGTGACATTTAAATACCTCAACATTTGGATGCCCAGGTGCTGTCCTGCAATTTTATTTTACAATTGGCATAAAAAAATATGGATCAGCCTCTCTTAGAAGTCCCTTAGTGAAAGCCCAGTTATCTGTCCATGGGTACTGGAGTCACAGCACTGTCAGAGCTCTGAGTTGCCCATACCAAGATTTCACACTAATGTGAACCAGAATTTGTCTCAGAATATGCTGTTGTTGTGTGGTGTGCATTGAGGATAATGGTCACCTCAGCTGCTGCTTTCATGACTCTGAAGGCCTTGGTCATAAGCCCCCTCTGACTTTTCCTCTCCAAAAAGGAGAATCCCGGCCTTTGTACCCACAGAAACTCAACCCCATATATTTTAGTTGCCTTTTTACACCTTTCCTTGCTCTTCTGTGTTTGTGGGGTATGAGGACTAGAAGCACACACGAATTTAAGGTTAGTGCTGTAAGTTTCAAACATATGTTTTTGTTCTACCCTCAGTATCTTTGTATGTTGTAATCATTATTTTGCTGGCTTTTTGGCTATCATTACACAGTAATGTAATGATTCAGAGAATTGGCCTGGATGACTCCAAGATCTCCTTCCTGATTTTGGTTTCCAGTCCTAAGTTAAGCATTGCGTAGACAGGATTTAGACCACTTGCCCTAGGTCTATTAGCTGTATTAAAGCTGTATTAAAGCTCATAAGACATCTTCTTGTCCCCTCAGTTAAATGAGGCCCTTTGTGAGTACATCACTATTATCTGGAAGTATCACCTGGAAATTTAGAAGTTTTTTTTGAAACAGCTCATTGACGAATACATTAAACAAAAACTCAGCCCTAATATGAGTCCTGAGGGTAGTTAGATACTGACTCATCTCCTAAAGTGACCATTAAGGTTTTGATTGCTGTTGTTTAAGCTGTTTTGACCCCATAAAAGTTTTCTACCAGTCCAGCAGCAATGTCTTTTATTGAATTTTTTTTTTTTTTTTTGCATATGTGTGAAAACTTGTCACAGGCACATTAAAAATCTAAATGTATTACGTCTGCTGCACTATCCTAGAGCTTGGGAAAGTTAGTGACACAGTGTGAGCAGGGATCTCACCAGTTACTTCAATATATCAGGAATAGATCTGCATATGTAAGAAAAATTTATCTTTAGAGCATGAGTCATGCTATTTAATAGATTGCTGATATTAAATATATATAGAAAAAGAATGTTTGAAAGAAAAATAAATACAAAATGGGAGGTTGATTTTGTAGATTCTTCCTTAATGAGAAAACAAATGAAGTGCCTCCAAATTGTTCATGCTTGCCTTTTCTTTTTGTTAAATTGCAGATGGCGTTCATACTTTACTATATGGCAATCGTTGGTCACGCTTTGTCTATAACATCCCTGTTGATTTCCTTGGCAATTTTCTTCTATTTCAAGTAAGTGCTTCTTACAGACACTCTCTCTTCTTTCCCTGAGGCATCTCAACCAAAGGAAATCTTGGAAGTTGTCATGGCAGTGAGAAGCAGCTCTTCTGAGTGTCTTTTTATACAATCCTGATAAAGAAGTCTGAGCTCAGGCTCCTCTCACCAATGGGACCTCTCCCAGTTGAGTGTAGACCATGTTGTTGTGTTTTTCAGGACTGGTGTGAAAAGTGCAGCCCATGGGGAAATGGTGCAACTAGGGATGCAGTAAGGCCTCTCATTTACCTATTGCCTTATGCTCCTCAGGAACATGTCCAGAGCTTGCCAAGTGCTGAGACTGGGGCATGGGGCAGTGAGTGGGAGCTCCAAGCTCCTGAAGAGCAGGACTGCCTGCATCTGAGGCTGAGGGACTGAGCTATTGAGCTGAGTAGATGCTTACAGGATACAGCCCTAAGAGTGAATCTGGCATTAGAGTGCAGACTGTTATCCTCATTGAAAGAAAAAGAGGATGCTGCTGTTTCAGAATTTTAAAGGAGACTGATATTCACCTAAAGTACTATAGCTACTGTATGGGAGCTTAACTAGAGCATTTCAACCTTGTTCTTTTGTGAACCTGTGCACTGTCAATTAGATGCCTCTGCCTCAACTGCCAAACAGGAAGAGTAGTAAAAGATCAAGTCCACAACATCACCACCACCAAGAATAAGACTAGGAAACACAGGAAAATTAAATGGTTGGACTTTTCATAGATTATAAGATTCTGTAAGATTGCAAACACCAAATAGGTGGATCCAAATACAGGCTCTGAATTCTGGTAATTTCCAAAGACGCAATTTGATGAGTGTCTATGAGAAAGCATCTTAATCAGCTACAGAGATAGCTAGAAACTCTGCTAAATGAACTGATGAATTCCCTTCCCATCAAAGCTGATAAATAGCACAAAACCATAGCCACAGTAATGCTTTGAGAAAACTGGAAAGAGCACAGTTTTATCTTATTTGGAATCCCATATCCTGGTTTGAGTTCTTTGAGACAGTAAAGACAGGATCTGGTCGAATTAGGTATGCTAAATGGACCAGCAAGGTGACTCCTTGCAGCAAGCAAGGCAGGGTCAGCCTGTCTGACTCACTCTGAGCTCTGAGTCATGAGCAACGCATAATCTTGACTGGTCCCAGGCTGCACTGAAAGACTGGTCTTTGTAGCAGCCTTCCAGACACTAAAACACCTCCTCCTCTCTTCCCTCCTCCGCTTCTCCTTCCCCTCCATGACTAAGCCATGACACAAAGGTTACAGGGAGAAGAGAGAAAGGAATTAAACCAAAGTTCTTCATAATGGGAAGTCAAAGAGAAAACCAAACTACAGCCATAGGAAAGTGAGAATGAAGGTATGTGCGAGCAGAGCTCATGTAACCTTCAGCTGTTTTCTATCATCTGGCTATGACAGCAATAGATTATTTGACCTTCAACTGAAGGGAAGCTGTCAATCAGACAGACAGTCCATCACATAGCAAGAGATGATTTCAGGACTGCATAATAGCCTTTGACTTTAGAGGCAGTTTGCACAGATTGCAGTTTCCCACATATAAGTTTTCTCTGGCAGATATTTATTTTCAGTTCACTTTTGGGTATCAAGATTCATAATGATCTGGTATCACAGATGTTGAAGTACTTTCAGAAGGGAATAGTGAATCAGCAGTGATGAGCATCACTAAGCAATGCTAACTCATAATAGGAGAAAGTATAAATAGAGTGTCTAACAGCTTCACATATTGTCACCTTATTGTACGATTACTATAATTGCAGAGTGAGACCCCAGTATCTTATTTAATAAAACACAAAATAAAGAGGTACTCCTACCTCCAAATCACTTCCAATTGAATTCTTAAAACAAAGACATTTGTATAAAGACAGATGGGGAGTAAAACAAATTTATATTTGCCAGAATAAGAGATGGTGTGTTATGAATGCACCTGCAGTCTAATTGCTGCCAAGGCTTTTAAAAGGAGTTGAAGGGTAATGGATGGAAGAACATTTTGTGAAATTTTTGAGGAGTTTTCCTCAGGGGCAAGGGAGGACATGGTACAAATAATTTGATACAAATGGTACAAATGGTACATGGTACAAATGAAAATAATTTGATACCTAAACATTTGGGGAGGAGAGGAAAATAAGTTTCTAGGCATGAAAATCAATATTTTCAATATTTATACATGAGAAAAATGACAGATTCACAAAGCATTTCTATGAGGAAAACATTCTAATTGTAATAGGGAAGTAGAGATAGCATGACTAAAGTAAGGGTGACTGTGAGTAGGTAAGAGAATCTGTCTGAAAAAGGAAATGTAGAAGACAGAATCAATGTGATTTTGTCACAGGGGAGACAAGAAAACATAGGAGACTGACACTCTAAAGAGACAATGGATAGAGGCTGGGAGACACAGAAAGCTCACGAGTTTTAGACACAGATAACCGGCTTAGTTATGCCTTCTTGCATACTGATTTATCAGAATCACACAGAATCACAGAATAATTTGGGTTGGAAGGGACCCTCAAGGATCATCAATTCTAACTCCTGGCCCTGCATAGCACCATCCCCAAGAGTCACACCATGTGCCCAAGAGTGAAGCACAGTAGGGACAATACAGAAAGATGGTGGGGAGAATGCCAAGGAGCCTCCAAAAACATCACAAAGGAATGATTAATAACAGAAAAAGGGCCAGGAAGAGAGCTAAAACAGGTCAGAGAAGGAGAAGATTGCAAAGGATTATCAAAACCAGCAGAAAGGATGAATCAAGGGTTTGGTTCCACTTTCTCCTCTTGGTGTGGACCAAGTTGGGCAAGTGTTGATGCCATTGTGATGGCAAACACTGAAGGTCAAATTAGAAAGTGAGGGTATGGAAATAAACACTAATGCTGCAGGTGGATCTTTAACATGAGAGCTGTAATCAAGGAAAAAGGGGAATGCTGGGGAAAAAGGAGGAGAAAATAAAACTAAGAGAGGAAGGCAGGCAGGGAAAGAAGTCTGGGCAGCACACAAAGACAACAAGTACTGAAGGACAGTCCAATTGAATAAATGAATAAAACTGCCAAAAGTCAAGTAGAGCAGTGAGGAAGGACAGGAATGGGAGTTAAGACACACCTACCTGGCTGAGATTATCACAAAAGACTCCCTGTACCAGAAACCACATAGAAAGGCACCTCAAGAGACAAGGGTCTGCATTTCTGTGGCCGGGAGCTGATGAGATTGTTCCCAGTAATAAGGAATTTTTTTATTTCTTGGGAACAGAACTGATGTCACACCATTCCTGTTCCCAGGGCTGTGAAAGAAAGACAGTGATAAGCATGTTATAGTGTCCCCAAAAAAGTGGGGTTAAGTGGCATAGTCAAAGTATTGCGATGGAGTAGGGGGAGAAAGGAAGACTCAGGACTGAGCTTAGAAGCAGAAAAGGAATATCAAGACTAGATTTGTGAGATTTGTGATGGGGACAGATACAAGTGGAGTAAGCACAAGAACATAGTGTAGCAAAAATAGCTCCAAAGAATGGTCTGTTTTTTCCAATATTGTGTCCTACAGTGAATCAAACTGAAAGTTCATGAATCCAGCCCTGTATCTGGTGCTCAGTGTTTGCCAATAGCTGATGCTAAAGGAGGACTATAAAATCAGGGCCAAGTGTATAGACATACTCTCATTCCTAACCACCAGAATATGCATCTCATAGACATCCTGAACCAAAGATGATGACTTGATAAATAAGGAGGTCTAAAGAAGTGATAAGCATTGCTGGATGCTGATAACCATAACCAGAAAGATGAGCTCAAGCTAAAGGTAGAACTGCATGCAATGACTTGGAAAGTAGGTGTAAAGAAAACAAAGAACAAATGGCAGGTGACCAAGGGGCTAAAGAAGGGGAAAAAATCAAGCAAGCAAGGAAAATAAGTAGAAAAGAGTTCAACTGGCTAGATTAGCTCTCTCTTTTTGAAGAGAGTGCACTCTGCATTGGCCTTCACATGCAGAGGAAAAGAAAGCCACAGCCTGTGCTCCATTCCAGACTGCAAAAGACCCCTAGTGCTGAGCTTACCCCAGCAAGGCAGCAGTATTTCTTAGCTGTTATTTACCCAGCAGTTTTGCCACCTTGCTCTCAGTGATCACTGGACAGCACAGCATTGTCTAACAGCTCCATGACTGCCTTTCTGCCATCACCCTCTGTCAGCCTGGCACTATACTCTGGGGCATGGAGAGCTGCAGGGGCCTTTCCTCTGCCTCAGGGATGGAGGAGGAGGTGACATGAGGATTTGCATATGAATTAGAAATGGAGATTGTTCAGGTCTGAATCTGCAGTCATGATTTGGTTTCATGAGAATTCTGAAAACTTCTCTTGTGAACTGTGCTACCCACAATAGCATCAATCCTACCTTCCCCAAAACCAGTGATTTAAAGAGATTTCTTCTTCTTCTGAGCAGGAAAACAACCTCCTCTGGTTTGGGATCTCAGCTGGAGTTAGAAATATGCAGGATACCAACCCAAATCCCCCTGTAATTTAAGGAGATTCCTGCCCAAATTCCCATCCTGTCTCACTACTAATTCCTGAAGTAGAAAATAATTTTTATCTGAGTATTTCAGAAATTGAGTCTCCAGGGAACAGTTACTTATAAAGCAGTATTCCTGATATTCATTCCTTGCATCATGCATATCTGAAAATTCTCAGGGTTCTGCTTTACCACTTAATATCTCAATTACCATGAATTAAGGAAAGGCATCAAGAGCTAAGAATGTAGCTGGATTGGTCTTTAGAATATGGTCTAAAAAGCATGTGGTGCTAAACAGGTGTAAAAACAAACCCAAAAATTTTTCAGAGGTCATGGCCGCAATGCAAGGCTTGTATTTTCCAATTATGCCTTGCCAAAGGACATTCTTGAGAGACTGTTGCCAGAAAGAGCTTGTTAAAGTGACATCAGAGGAAAAATACTAATTTATGACATGTGTTACATATTTTTCAGGAGCCTCAGCTGTCAAAGGATAACACTGCATAAGAATTTGTTCTTTTCCTATGTGCTGAACTCCATGTTTACAATTGCCCACCTCATTGCTGTCGTTCCTAACCCAGGCCTTGTAAAAAGGGACCCTGTAAGTACTGCATGACTCCTCTCCATCCTAACACCAAGTAAAATCACTATGGCCCTGCCAAAACCTAGAATTCCCATTCCTCAGCTAATGATAGCCATCTGGGAAAACACACACAGAGGGTGCAGATTCTGAGAATTTCACTCAAAATTGCTCAGATCCTTCACCAAGCAATAAAAATCTTTGAACCTTGTATAAGCCCCAGACTTGCTCCAGCCAGCCCATCCATACAAGTATGTGCCAGACCTCCAATGCTCCCAGCAATAACTACCTGATGATTCCCATCAAAGCCCCTGAGGTGATAGATGCCTTTGGTGACTGCTCATCCTTCTTCACAAAGCACACACTGGGGAGGGACAGGATGGAAAGAGAGATGGCTTATTCCAATACAACACACAGAAAGGTCTATTTGCTGCATTTTTTAACTTGGGAGGCAGTAAATCAAAGCATTAGTTACCTACCCTCACTGCTCTTAGGTAGTGATACAAATTGTGCCAGCCCCTCAGCTGATAAATATATAGCAGATCTCAGTCAGCCAGCTCTGATCTTGCTCCCTAACCCAGCCATTACATTGAGCTCAGTCCTTACAGCAGCCCCAGCCAATGTGAAAATAATGAAAATGTGGTAAGTTTCATTTTAACACTAATCAGCTTGTAGTCTAATAAGATCAGTCAATTATAATTCAACCATTTATCTGCCTCTAATTTCATGAAAGGAATTAAGTATTAGCACCTGATATTATCTGATCACATGTGTGTCTCTTAAATGTGTGCTGATTAAGTAAGTTAATTAAAGCAGAAAATATATAGCCTAAAGAAAACATCACCAGTTTCAGAACATCACCATCATCAGAAACCATCTGGAGATTAAAAAATAGAAGAGCAGAAGAATAATTTAAAAATCACACATTTTACTTCTCCTCATTGCATAGCATCATGCGTAGATAGCCTGTGCAAGAGGTGCAATGAAAATACACTTGATTTTTGAAGATAAAAAGCTGGCAGATGATATCAGGCACCTAAATTGAAGTAAAATCATTACCTCAGAGTTAAGAATGATACTTTCTGACAGCACAGATAAATTCTCTGGAACTGATTAAACTGTTGAGGGCATGGGAAGGAGTCTTGTGTTTTAAGATTTCATTAAAAAACAATTGTTTAACAAAACTATTTGACTAACAAAGGCACTGTATAGTGTTTTTTGGCCTGATCTTTACTGGAAGTGAAATCTCAGTGAAGATTGAAGAAATGACCAGTGAAGTCAATGAAAAAGCTCTCAGAGGCTCCCATAGAGCTATGTAGCCACAGAACAGGTTCCAGCCCACTGAGCACCACATGATGATGTCCCCAGCCTCCATCACTATGGCACAAACAGCATAAAAGTGACTCCAGTGGTTGTCTTTGGAGGCCACAGAGCCCCAAAGCAGTGCAGAAGCTCGTGTACCTCACTCTGCTCTCAGGTCCCTGCTCAGAATATGAAGAGGAGCCTAAATGCCCAATATAGTCATGGAAATGACCCAAACAGTGACCCAAACAGTCCTGTTAACAGAACTGGCTGCAGTTATTGACTGAGTAGATGTTTTGATGAACAAAGCCATTGCTTTGCAGTTTCTTCTTCCAAACCAAATTTGCATGTCTTTGACCCGGGAGTGAAAGGCTGTCTACAGACAAGGTACAAAACTTGGGACCAGAAGATCTGGGGTCTCTCATTTGTCCCACCATCAAGTACAGGATGACGGTACAGTCACAGCTTGATCTTGCCTCAAATTCCAGATTTTCCTCCCAAAAAACAAAAAAAAGAAGAAAAAGGAGGTGAGGTGGGTGAGGTGACCTGCTAATATGTTCAAAGTCTCCCAGCCTTACTAGAAAATGTATTCTGTTACCTTAGTAACATAATAAAATTTTAGGTTTGTGATTGGGAAAAGAAAACTAACAGACAGGAGCACATTTTTAACATATGATGAAATTACAGAAAATCTCTATACAGAGTATATAAAAACTTAGAGGATTTATGTTTAAAATGCTAAAAAAATTTACCAGAAATTCCCATAATATTTTTATGCTGATGCCTATTATCAGAGCAAATGAAAGTTCTAGAGCGTGGGTTTTTTCTACTCCTACTGCACCCTTTGCTTTAATAAGTCCACTTGAAGATTACTGCTTCTGACTTCCTCTAGTTTGCTGCACTTATCCACTTTCTACATGCACGTCTTTGGAGCTTCACAGGTTCCTGAATGTATGGCTCTCACCCTTTGTATATACAGAAATACTGAAATGTGTAGATTGAATTTCAAGCAGTCGAGGATATCACTCAGATAACAGCCATATACTGAGATGAAGTTGCTGGTATTTATTCTGCAAAATAATAAATGTGTTTCCACCCCAATAGTTCCTGCTTTTTTTTTTCCTACCTAAAGTTTCACAATAGTTTTTAAACGTGAAATGCCATGGGAAAATACTTTCGGTGATTCATAATTTATGAGGATATCAACAAATCCATATAATTTTGAAAGAAGAAAGGACAATCTCTTAAATAACAAGGAGAAAAGTCAGGAGGAGCAAGAGATGAAATTCTTTCCTAACTCCAAGACAGGCCCATTCTCCCTGTGACCCGGGGAGAAATGGCATGAGAGAATCCAAAGCATCATTTACTTGAGGACAGTCTGTACCATATCCTCCTCACATTGCTGCTAAGAGTTAAATCCTTTGATGATTATTCTGCTCATGTAAAATGGTAAGTCAAGCCACTTTTATGATAATCTTAACTTGATTATTTACTTCATGTTTTCTGGTTATATAATTTTCTCTCTCTCTGTTTCTCTTTCTGTTGGATTAATCTGGATCTGAAACCATGAAAAAAAAGGATCTGAGTCCAGGTGGCCATGAAAGAAATGAAGAATCAATGGACAAGGTTCAAAGACATTTAAACAAAAATAAATAGGACACGTGTATGAACACTTATTTACATATACTGAAAATTTTGACTGTTTTATCTGAGCTAGGAACTGCATTAATTATGCTATTAGTGGAACCGCATTCATAGGAAGAGATATCATCTATCACCTTCCTAAATGAGACTGACCCACAGCAGAAGGGTGATCTGTGGACAGCACATTATATTCTCCAATAAAACCTTTTAAATAGAAATAAAAGTCTTGCTGCCAAATCTCTCAATACAGTCTTACACATTAGATCTGTAATTTTCATTTTCTGTATTCCACAAGAGTAGTCATTTTAATACTCATACTGATGGAAGTAAAAGGAATTGACAGCTAATGCCTGAAGGGGCAGCTCTGCCAATGAGAAACTGAGCAATTCATCAGCTCCATATAAATATGGACATCATATTAATATGCTTTTAGGAGGGGCTAAGTTTGGTCACAAATTAGTACTTTGTCTCAGTAATTAGAACTTCTTCCACAAAGGACTTCAGAGATCTTACTGTATTTTTTTTCTATTTCACGCTCTAGTAGAAATACCTGTTCTCTTCTTTCTGCAGGTTCTTCTGTAACCTCTTCACCTTTTATGTGGTGGTTTCACCCTTGCTTCTGCCATTGTATGGTGGGAAAGCTTGTGTTTCGATTGCAGTTTTACAGAGGCCATGGCAAGGGCCAGTGCTCCACTAGTAGTTCCTAGCAGCCCTGTGTGGGGTCTCATGTTTGGCCATGCCATGGCAGAGAGTAAGGACACAGCATCCATTCAGGCACACTCCAATCCCACTGTCAAGTCCCATCTTGTTGCCACACAGCTTCTTTAGGCCTTAATGTATAAACAATCTGTACACCCTCTCATGTGGGTTCAGTAGCAGACCTGGTATGCAAGAACCCAAAGCATTAAATTCTGTTTAATTGCACACAGCATGATTTCATTTCCTTCTGGCAGCATCTGTAACTAACTCAGCCCTTGAACATGAGGGGTGAGAGGATGGGGGCTGTTTTTCCCTCCATGTGTAGATGTAGATACATTTTAAAGGTCTTGAGCTAGTTTACCACCCTGGCTGATGGTGCAACATGCACTCAGTGTCTCTGGCAGGAGCACATAGTCCCCTTCCCTTTGCAAGCATTTCACTAAGCTTGCTGACACTGTGGGCATGAGCTGGGATGACAAGGGGCACTTGGTTATCTATACTGCCCAAAACCCATCTCCTGGAGCAAGCAGGCCTTCTAAGCACTAAGATCTTCTAAGCATCTTACTGCTTTCAGCATTATTAGTTAGACCAAGAGAGCACAAAGGCTGGTGCCCACTAACATTAAAATTTTAAAGCAAGGCCATAGTAGTAGCAATACTAAAATTTCTAGCTTTCTTGTGGACTCTAGAACACTATAAATAATCTCTCCATTAACAAATTAAAGTGAAAACCACAACTTCCCAATTGTGCTAGGTTTTCCTTCCTACCACAATTACAGCAAAACTGAAGAAACAAAACACTGAGCTGTGTGGACAGATGACAAGTATAAAAGAATAGTTACTGTGATTTAAAGGGTTCCAAAATTGGTATTCACCTGCTCCCAAAGGAATAGAGAGGCAATGTAAGATAAGAAAGCAAAGATTTGCAGAATTTTGGGAAAAATGTCAATTTGGGTATTTTTTACCAGACAAATGTTATCTTCTCACCTCTTCTTGCTTTCATTTCCTGCTGATCTAGCCTGGCAGAGAATGGAGGATTTAAAACATTTTTTTATCAAATGTGATGCTCATAAATTATACCAGTGAGGACAAATGGTAAAACTGCTGCTCCATGTGACTTATTTTCCTTAGTTGTTCCAGCAGTCCCCCTCATGGAGCAGACCTCCCTGGAAACAGCAAAGGTGGAGATCCACAAGGGAAAGGGACACTTCAATCTTCTGAGTAGTTTCATGTATTGTATTTGGGGTAGGGCTTCAGGAGGTGCCATTCTTGTTAAATAATTTGATTCTTTTTTTCATGTGACTATTTCCACAGCTTTTCTGTCACTGTCAAAGCCTCTCTAAAGTCTTTTATCTTAGTACATCTATTCTTCCATCC